ATTTCAAAAAATTAAATTTCTGTGGGCGTGGGTGCGAAAGTTGAACCTGAGACATTGGAATATTACTCATAGACAATTTATCAACTCGGCTAGATCCCTTCGGGTTTGATTATATAAAATGGAGGTCGATGGATATAAAATGTGTTACTTCCCTTTCCCTCTATTCTCTTCAACAAATGCCCCCAAAAAAGGTGAATCTATTTAACTTACTTCCTCTACACCCCCATTCACCCCATCCAAACAAAGCATCAACCATCAATCAGTTCTTGTAGCCATCGATGACATCATCAACTATTGATGGGGTCAATGCTGACCATCGATGGTTCAATGGAATCAGCTTCCGGGTTGATTTCCGTGTCGTTTTGCCTTGTACATGTCTTATACCTGTATTCACCTGTACTATATCTTCTCAAATGTTTATTATACTAAATGAGAGTTTGTTATTACTCAAACAAAAGATATTGTATGAACTACGTCCTAACAATTGTTGCGCGCAGCGGAAATTTCGGCAGCACTTCGGCAGCACAACAAGAGAGTCAGGTCGCAATAAGAATTCTTGTTTCTCAAAGGAAACAAGAATCTGAAGCCTATATCCTATCAAAGTAGGATATTAGCTCTTCCTCTCGTCAGCTCTAGGACTGCGCGTCGAGGGACCCTAAAAGCTATTACAAATCACACAAAAGCAGCACAACCAAATTTTAACGTGGTTCGGCAAATTGCCTACGTCCACGGGGCAAGGAGGGGGGAGATCTACTAATAGAGGGAGAGAATACAACTAGGGTTTACAATCACTCACAAACTAAACCCCCAAGCAAACTCTCAAATCCCTTACACAATATCTCTCAACAAAAGGGAATAAAAGGACTGCACAAACTCTTCTCAGAAACCAGTCCCAATTCTCCACCTGCTGCAGCCGCAAACCAAAGAAAGAACTCCTGCAGGAAGTCTTTCTGCCGCCGCAAAACAATTACCTCTGCCCTTCTTTGCTTACCCTAAAAAAAAAAAACTAATAAACTATTGTTTATATAGGATGCAAACCGCGTTCACAATTTCGTGGGCCGGCTTCGTTCACAATTCCACGCGAAAACAAACCGCGTTCTAATTCACGTGGTCATTCACGTGGTGGTGGCCCACGTTCACAATTCTCCACCTCGGTGAAGTTTTCTCAAAACTGAGCCGATACCAAAGCAATCAAATGTCCCACTTGTTGTGCCCAGTACGAACACAATCCACAACAAGTCAAGAACCTGAACGAGAGTCCAAACAATCTCACCCCCAACAACTAATCCAAACCGGCTGCATCTGAAAGACTGCCTACGTATCCTCTTGCCCAAGGAATCAAGCCGAACATAGTTCACCCAAATGAACAAGTTTCGATAATGATCAAACTTGTTGCTCGGAACCACCTTAGTGAGCATATCCGCCGGATTATCCTTCGTGTGGACTTTCATAATTTCCACATCGCCATCTTCAAGAACATCCTGAACGAAGTGATAACGAACGTCAATGTTCTTCGTTCTCGCATGAAAAACCTGATTCTTCGCCAAATAGATAGCACTCATGCTATCACAATGAATAGTGACGGACCTCTGCGATATACCAAGTTCCTCCAAAAGTCCTCGAAGCCAAATAGCCTCCTTCACAGCCTCCGTAACTGCCATATACTCTGCCTCCGTCGTAGACAAAGCCACCGTCGACTGTAAGGTGCATCTCCAACACACCGGCGCACGGGTCAAAGTGAACACATACCCCGTCGTAGACCGGCGCTTATCCAAATCCCCGGCATAATCCGAACATACCCCGTAGTAGACCGGCGCTTATCCAAATCCCCGGCATAATCCGAATCAACATAGCCAATGCATAGTTGCCCACCTTTAGTGTCCCGCTCATAAACCAAACCAACATTGAGCGTACCTCGAATGTACCTCAAAATCCATCTCACGGCATCCCAATGACCCACTCCTGGATCGTGCATGTATCTCGATACCATGCTCACCGCCTGTGACAAATCTGGTCTCGTACATACCATTGCGTACATCAAGCTCCCAACCGCGCTCGCATATGGAGTCTTCGACATCAACTCACGATCTTCAACTGACTTCGGTGAAAGACCAGCTGAAAGCTTCAAATGGGCTCCCAATGGTACACTAACTGGCTTCGTATCCATGCTAACATGGAATCGCTGTAGAACCTTCTTCAAATAAGCCACCTGTGTCAAACAAATTCTGCCCTTCTTCTTGTCTCTGCCGATCTCCATCCCTAGAATGCGCTTCGCCTCACCCAAGTCTTTCATCTCAAACTCATTTGATAGCTGAACTTTCAACTCATCTATAGCCGACCTGGAAATAGAGGCAACCAACATGTCATCGACATAGAGCAACAAATAAATATACGCACCTCCTTTCAACTTGCGAAAATATACGCAAGGATCAGAGGCAACCAACATGTCATCGACATAAAGTAACAAATAGATGTACGCACCTCCTTTCAACTTGCGAAAATATACGCAAGGATCAAACTGGCTCCGAGTGTACGAATGACCAAGCATAAAACCATCGAATCGCCTATACCATTGTCGAGGAGACTGCTTCAAACCGTATAGCGATTTCTTCAGTTTGCAAACTAATTTTTCCTTCCCTGCAGCTCGGAATCCCAATGGCTGAGTCATATATATTTCTTCATCAAGATCACCATGAAGAAATGTCGTCTTCACATCCAACTGATCTAACTCCAAACCATACTGTGCCACCAAAGCTAGCAAAATCCGAATCGAAGAATGCTTCACCACCGGAGAGAAAACCTCATTATAGTCAATACCTTCCTCCTGTGCATAGCCCTTCGCAACCAACCTAGCCTTGAACCTCAATGGAGTGCCTTCAATGCCCTCCTTCTTCGTGTATACCCACTTGCAACCAATTGCCTTCCGCCCCTTTGGAAGCTCAACAAGCTCCCATGTATCGTTCTTATGAGGAGATTCCATCTCCTCCTGCATAGCCACCTGCCACGAATCAGCCTCCGAACTCTGCTCGGCCTCTCTGAATGTAGTAGGCACCAACTCATCGATACTCTCCACCGGAAGTGCATATGTATGTTTCTCCTTTGTCTCCTAGCCGTAATAGAATCCTGAACCTGAGCCGTCGGTTCCTGATCCTGCACATTTGTACTCGTATCCTCCGTGTCATCATCGTGCTCGCCTGGCGTCACCTCAGTCGGCACCTGCATGGATACTGTACCATCTGGACGATGTGGAGCTGCATCGATCTCTACCACCTGCGATATCTCCTCCGTCGGGTCGCTCTCCACCTGGTGAGAGCTGGAAAGCTTCAAGATAGAAGCCTCATCGAATGTGACGTCCCTACTCAGCACAATCTTCTTATCCACTGGATCCCAAAGCTTGTATCCCTTGACACCACGTTTGAATCCTACAAATATGGCCTTCCTAGCTCGAGGTTCTAATTTATCAGTTCTAACATGATAATATGCAGGGCACCCGAATACCTTGAGCTGGTCATAATCATGTGCTGGCTTTCCCGACCACATCTCCATAGGGGTTTTCCCCTCAATCGCAGATGAAGGCAGCCTATTAATGAGGTGGCTCGCATATGTAAGTGCCTCAGCCCAAAAGATCTTCTCCAAACCACTCTGCGACAATAAGCATCGGATCTTCTCCAGTAAAGACCGATTCAACCTCTCTGCCACCCCATTTTGCTGCGGTGTATGAGTTTCTATCTTAGAAATATTATCAACGAAGCTTCATCACTCACAATTTCTACTACGAAACAACATACACGTCAAGGCAGAATTTTAATTATGTATTTTATTTATTGATCTTTATATATAACATGCTGACAATGCACATTTTGCTTTTCTTGTTCTTGGCCCACTCTTTGTTGCGACTCGTTAGACCTACAATCTCCACAAAAGATTAACGGAGTGATTACTGGCTTGATTGGCTCTTTTAGTTTTGGTAAACCACATTAAGAGCTTAGAAAACTGGATTTGATATAAATATGTCCGGACCTCGTTCAACAAAAAGCAAAGCGTAATTAATTTGGTCCAATTAGCAATGAACCTCCTTCAATCACAATTGTAGATATCTCAAATTAAATGTGATACATTAACAAATCGCTCGTATGAGTTATACAGGACCAACTCAAAGGAGTGGATTTTTTTACTTTGAACTTTGGGGAATGATGAGATCATCAACGCATAGGAGGAACTCGTGCGGACAAATTCTCATACGAGGAGTCACATTTGCCTGCCTCCGCATCGCAGTTGTCTATTTGAAACTCCAATTGTAGACCCATCATTCAGGAGTTGAGTTGAATATGCTTAGCTAGTGATAGCCTCGAATCACAATTGCCGGTTCCGCGTTGTACCTAAAACCAATTGATTATCCCTGTACGGACTGCAGAGGTAATTGGGTACATAAGTAAATAAGATTTGATTCATAATTTTACTAGGTTTTCCTCTTCTCTTAAACAAACTGATTTTCTACCACAGTACTAATTATCCAAGATTTATGCACATCGATCTTTCAGGTTGTGCCTTACGAAGATTTTTAATAGTTTATATTTGAGCCTACATGGGGCTTGCTATAGCTAATGTTTTCCTTCATAATGATCCCTTCGACCAATCTCAATCATAGAACAACGAATCTAGAGTTCTACTACAAAATCAAAAAGTCATTGGACAGGTACTAGCGTAGGCACCGTCAGCACGTAGATAATCGAATAAACTATCTAATTTCTAGAAGCCTTGGCATGTGTTTCGTTTCCTACGACTTAATTTTGTTATTATTTTGTCCCATTCAGAGAGATACTTTTTATGTTTGCTAATAAATCTAACCAAAGATTAAAATATTATCTCAACAACTCTGGCCATCTTTGAATGGTTCTTCTCACCTGCACTGGAGACCGATGCACCTAATTGGATACGCATGCACCCTAGCTACCCCTCCCCATCTATAAAAGCCCGTCCAGAGCCCACCCATCTTCCATCAAAAACTTCTCATCTTGTTAATTGACAAAGCTAGCTAGGTTCTTTTACAAACTTATAAAGGCAATATGAGTTCTAGCGCTGTCAGCCATGAGATCGAGTCCTCAGTCTCAGCTGCTCGCCTTTTCAAGGCTTCAATGATTGAATGGCATAACCTCGCTCCTAAGATCCTGCCTGAAATTGTGTCAAGTGCTAGTGTTGTCGCAGTTGATGGTGGCGTGGGTAGCATTAGGCAGATCAATTTTACCTCAGGTTTAACCATTAATCCCATCTTAATTAATTGAAAACGTACTATTATCAATTCCGTTAGTACTAAATTATCTAATGCTAGTAGACGAGGCTAATTTTGAGTGCAAGAGTAGCCTAATTGAAGGTGGTGATCTTGGTACGAAGCTTGAGTCAGCCTCTTCTCATTTCAAGCTCGTGCCGTCGAGCAATGGTGGATGTGTTGTTAAGCTTGAGGGTACTTTCAAGGTTCTCCCTGGAGTTGAAACGACCGACGAGGTTGCAAAGGGAAAAGAGATGATGACAAATGCTATCAAGGCCGCAGAAGCCTACCTTGTCGCGAATCCCACTGCCTACGCTTGATGATTCATGCTTTTGCGTTGAGTCTCTCAGTCCGGTACACGTTGTTGAATCAGTAATAATATGGAGAGATCTTGTATGCCTGAGTGTTTAAGTAGCTTTGTTTAATTCTTCATGTTTGAATGTTATTTGTGTGGAGTTGCCCTATGCTTGTGTACGTCCTTGTTTGCAATAATAAACTAAAACATGCTCTTTCTGTTTTGCTCTTTACCGTTTCTTTTCGGATTTTCTATGAATATGTAATCGTAATTTGAATCAGATTAGATTATCTATAAATAAGTTGATTGTGGGGACTAGTCTTTAATGGAAGTGAGGATAATAGACTAGAATAGGGCAAGTGTTAAAAGTTGGAATAAAACCTTATTAGCAACACAACTGATAATATTATAGACAGTGTAAAACCAAGTCACGATTCCACTAACAATCTATAATGACTTAAGTTAATCTCAAACCCTAATCCCACCTCTTTTTGTTATTTATGTTCTCTCTTTTATATTATCTTAATTGGCTGCCAAAAGTACATATTAATAAGACAAAGTTTTCATCTTTTTAGGCCAAATTTAAAAAAGTACATACACTATATTAATATTGAATTTACATTTTCTTTCAGGAATGGATCCCATTGAAACACTCACCAATGGGCATTAATGTAGTGCAGAAGTGATAAACCTTAAAATCCACCAAGGGAGTTCTTCGAATCCGCAAAGAACGATCTCCGAATCCATGAAGAACTTCGAATCCATGAATAAAAATAATATAATGGAAATTTATTGATAATAGTGGTCTTCCCATGAGGATTATAACCATTTTTCTTAAACAAAAAAAATAAAGCCTACTATAATAGGAATAGAGATTCATAAAAGAAAAATTTAAAGCAACCTAAAAGACTCCCCATAATAGAGGAAATAAATTACTCCAAATTGAATCAAGATTGAATTTGTCTCCTAACCTAAATAGACTCTAACTTTATTACTAAGGTTAACTAAAAGATCTACAAAAAATGGGTACTGCTCATAAAATTTTGGAAATTTGACAATCTAGTTGGTTCTATCCCATCAATAGGTGATTTACATAGATGATATATTAGAATATTCTTTCTGAATTGGAAGATATGGTTGATCTTTGCGGACAGGTCAATAATGAATATGTATCTGTGTTTGGCTCGTGATGGTTATATTCCTCCATGAATTTATTTACTATGCATCCTACATTACCCCTTGTTGAAAGATGTTGGCCCCAAGCTAATATTTATTTAAATAGTAGCTTTCTTGATTAAAGAACGTTTCTTTTCCTGTGTTGATCAGCTTCCACCTTATACTTAGCATTATTTTTCCATCTATTCTTTCAACTTTCTATCTCTTTCTCACGGCACGTGAGCATGACTTGTGGCATGTATGTCTGCAATTGACTTGAAAAACTCCTCCAAATCTTTTCACTGATGTTCTAGTGCCGGAAGTATCATCTCAACTTAATTTATTAAAATTATTGACAATCTTCACTACAAAAGAAGAAAAATTTTCTTCATACTCCATACACAGTTCTTTCATATCCCTTGTCTTGGGCCCTCCACCAAGCAAGTGATACATAGCCTTGCTCTCTAGTATCTCCTAATCCATCGCAAGTGATACATAGCCTTGCTCTCTAGTATCTCCTAATCTTTCATATCCCTTGTCTTGGGCCCTCCACCAAGCAAGTGATACATAGCCTTGCTCTCTAGTATCTCCTAATCCATCGCAACCACATCAGTAGATGTAATATTGCTCATTATAGTTTGTAGGCTGTCTAAAAATTATTGCAGATAGCTGATCCCCACAAAGCACTGATGATGAGGTGATCGAAGATGCGTTGGAAAGCTTACGAAGAGCTCTACAACCTCTCATAGGTGAGATACTCATAGAGTGGGCGATACACATATGGTATTTCGCCCTTTGTGGGTGAAGCACAACTCTTGGCTGAGTTGTTCCTTCATCGTTTAGTGTGTTTCATAGACTCGTACGCTTTGCTGACTTACTTCATGTGATTTTTAGCTTCTCTACAGTATTGGATGATCTCCTTTGACTCAGATAATCCTCCTTGCCTCGGATAATGATATTCATCTTTTCTCCATCTCGATTTGTGTGAGGGAACCTATAGGTAATTTTTTATGCTTACAGATACCCCCTCCAAAGTGTTTCAACATCATTCTTTTATAAAGGAAATTGGAATACTTTGGATATGATATGTCCGGCTGTTAATTTGTTAACTTCTTCAGCTTTTAGTCTATTCAGTATTTTGTCGAATAGCTAAAATTCTTCCGGTGCTGTGTTTATTGCCTGACCGTTGTCGAAATCTTGAACTGAAGCTGGTGTGTTAATTTCTGAATTAGCTCGTGTTGTGGGGTTGATGTTGGACTAATCATCTTCATTGAGAGTTTGTATTTGAGTCACGATTGAACTCCCTGAATTAATTTCTTGAACTGACGTCTCATCCTGAGCCTTGTTTCGACAAATTATTGACGTGTTGGCTGGCGTAGACTTTCTTTGCAACATGGTGATCGGCGTTGGGACATGGCAAGCCCAAGTTTTAGTGACTGTAAAACCAACCGTTAATGTCGTTTCATCTGCCTGTACGGAGTTTCTCCTGGCATGGACCGTTATACATTTGTCGGTTTTTTACTTAATCACAGGGGGGTTTTGATTGTAGGACTAACCACTGGAGCTGATACGGCCACAACCACTGGAGAGGTTTTTTCGATGTTGTCTTGTGTGTGCTATAAAGTATACCCTACCTCGTGTGTCTAAGACGGGTTCAATTGTCCCGCTTGAAGAAAGGTGGTCTTCGGGCTAAATTTGTTTCTTCCTTTGCCCGCTTCTTGAGTTTGGCAGAGCTTAAACTTTATTATGATTGCTTATCCTACTTAGAATAAATAAATATAATATTTATAGAATTTTTGATAAATCCTCAGCCATCAATGGATTTGATAAGCCTTTACCGACTACCGTTTGAATCAAGCTAGCATGCAAATTGTTTAAGTCTGTTCTACATGTAACATTGTGCTAAGAGAATAAACTCTCTTAGACTTGGTGCTATGATGTTGAATACATAAGCTTGATCATTTTCACGGGAATGGACTACCCGACAACACGTATTAGGCGTAGACTTATCTCTAATAAGGGATTGAGATAACGTCCCCCACGCATAAAACATGGATTTGAAAATGTTGATGGGTTACGTCTTTTTGGTGAAAAGATGAACCCAACACTAGAGAGGAAAATTTTATATTCTATCTCTTGGTCTCTTTTTTTGTTGGTTGAGATGAACCCAATGTCAGAGAGGAAGAATTTTATATTCTATCTCCTGTTCTCTTTTTTATTGGTAGAGATAAACCCAAAATCAGAAAGGACAAATTTTATATTCTATCTCCTGGTCTCTTTTTTATTGGTAGAGATGAATCCGTAATCAGAGAGAAAGAATTTTATATTCTATCTCCTTGTCTTGAAAGAAACTCAAAGTGGTAGTTCCACTTCAAGAATCTAAAAGGTGAGACTAAGAGTGAGATCTCCACTCTGAGAATCAAGAAAATTTAGATAACCCTAACTATTTAAAGGTTTGGTTATTCAATTTATAGACTTCTCGTTCATGAAAGGAATCGAGAAGGGATTTTGGTTTTAGTCCTAACTATTTAAATGTTTAACCACATGAGAGTTTGAGATGATCCTAACTGTTTAAATGTTTGATCGTTCAGTTTGTGGACCTCTCGTTCATGAAAAGAATTGAGAAGAGATTTTAGCTTTGATCCTAACTGTAGGAAGGTTTGACCAACTGGGAGTTTGAATGGATTCAGCCGTAAAGAATTTTGGTGGACCCATAGTCAATTAGTTTGATCAGTGAAGAGTTTTGTGGTGAAGGATTGTGAATCATCGAGCACTTCGCAATTGCACCACGAAGATTTTGTGAGGAAAGATCAACTATATGCAGTCATTTAATCTCATCTCAACGAAATAATGCTTGGAAAGTCACAGTGGTAGATTCTTAATCATTTTGGAAATAATTAGATAACCACAGTGGAACATTCTTAATCATTTTTATAATAATTAAGAATGAATTATTCAGATGATTAGTTTCTATCTGGAATAATTGACTGATCTCGGGTATCCTTAAAATACCATGTACAATATTCTCTAGGAACTTCCTATTTAGATAGGTTATTCTGAATGTACTAATGGTAGTACTTACTTCCTCAGAAACTTTCCATTTATTGGCATCATGAGCTTGTTGCCATATTGGGTGATCAGGCGATATACACCATTTGAATAGATTATTTCTATTACAAACGACCCTTCCCATTTGGGTTGGAATTTTCCATTTTTCTTGGAATTGAGAATCATGGGTCTCCGAACGGCAAGAACTAGGTCTCCTTCCTTGAAGCCTCATCATTGGACTCTTTTATCAAAGCCCAAGAAATTCTAGCCTGATAAAACTCGATTTGTTGCTGAGCTTCCAAACGATTTTCATCTAGCATCTCCAACTGTTCGAGACGTTTTTGATGTTGCTCTTTTGTTGTCATTCCCATTGCGAGAGTGATGCAGAGAGAAGGAATTTGTATTTCCAAAGGAAAAGGACAGCTTTATATCCATATACTAAGAAATATGGGGTTGCTCCAGTTGGCGTACGGACGGTGGTACGATAAGCCTACAGAGCTTCACCCAGTTTGTCGTCCCAGTCTCTCTTATTGACTCTTACAAGTTTTGATAAAATCTTGATAATTGTCTTATTGAAAGCTTCAGCTAATCCGATAGCTATGAGATTATAGGCCATTGATAAAACATCCTAGATTCCAAATTTACCGTAGAATTTGAAGAATACGTTGCTAACGATTTGAGGGTCATTGTCATGTAATATTCGTCTCGGGACACCATATAAATATATGATATGATGTTTAATGAATTTGACAACATCGCTTGTCTTCACTTCTTTAAGCAGGACCGCTTCGGCCTATTTTAAGAAATAATCGGTGATCGCTAGAATGAAACGGTCACCTTTGACTGAAGGCGGGAAAATAGGACCTACTATATCCATTCCTCATGTTTCGAATGATCATGATGTTGCTGATGGGTGCAAATGCTCCGGAGGCTGGTTCATATAATTTGCATGTATTTGACACACATGACACCGTCGGGCGTAGTCAACTTCGTCCTTGATCATGGTTGGCCAGTAATATCCCATTCTTC